GCATGGGGAGATGGGGCAATGTGCAGATCCAGATGGAGAGACGGTGCAGAAATCCGGTCCGACACCAGATCCAACGACTACCATAGATCCAAGGCACCGGGATGCTGATGCGGATGAGCAAGTCTGCGACCATGTGAGCGGGGATCTGCACGCCGAAGATGTTGAAGCAGAGATGGCGGTGCTACCCGAAGTCACCTCGACCACAGACCATGTGACCATTGAAGACATCCAGGTGGGAGATCCAGATGTTAACACGGTGGAAGAGATCGATCGACTTCGACGGCGGATCTGGAGGCACTGGCACCTGCTGATTGGCAAAGGCAACGCGCTGCCGCCCGCGGCACGAGGAGTTGTGTGTGACATTGATGTGGGTGATGCAAAACCCATTGCTCAGCGGGTGCGCAAGGAAGCCGCGCAGTACCATGAGAAGCTGTCGGATCTAATCAAGGGTCTACTTGGAGCCAAGATCATCAAGAATTTGACTTCACTGTGGGCATCTCCAATTGTGGCGATCATCAAGAAGAACGGGGTGGACATACGTTTGTGTATTGATTACCGGCTGGTTAACAGTTTGACCCGGCTGATGGTCTACCCGATGCCCCTGATCAACGACCTGCTTGAGGATCTGGACAAGGTGCTTTGGTACTGCTCTTTGGATATGGCCAGTGGATTCTGGGTGGTGACGATGACGGATCGGGCTCGTGCGATCTCCGCCTTCATCACCCCGTTCGGACTGTTCGAGTGGAACCGGATGCCCTTCGGATTGAAGAATGCACCCCAGATCTATCAGCGGATGCTAGACAACGCATTGTATGGATTCACTCGGATCCCGCGGCTGGAAGATGGATCGGGATCAGAGCGCGAACTCGGATCCAAGCGTGGATCTGGATCGGAGGCGTTGAATCTGGATCTGAAGTCGGGAGAACCGGAAGGTCCGGGCAAACCATCCGTACTGGGACGTCGGTCGTATATTGACGACATCTTGGTAACCGGTGGATCCTGGGATCACCTGTGTGAACGTGTGGACGCACTACTCGACTCATGCGATAAATAGAATCTCTCGATTAGCGTGGTGAAGAGTTTCTGGGGCAAGAGTAAGATGGAATACCTCGGTCATCGCGTGTCAAACGCAGGACTGGAGGCGAATCCCAAGGATCTCTCGGCACTAACGGATCCGACCTTCCAAGGCACGCTTAGATCCATGCAGTCATACTTGGGTAGTTTGAATTACTACAGTCGGTTCCTGGAGGACTACGCGATTTACGCTCCGATTCTCTACGAGCTACGTGAAGTGGACTACGCCGCGATGAGCAACCCGGAGAATCAAGGCCGGATCCAAGCGGTGATGGCTTCCACGACTCCAGATCCAACGGAGCAGACCTCGTCTGACATGGTGGATCTAGACTTACCGGACCCGAACTCTGGATCCACCAAGGCTGTGAAACAGAAGACTTCGAATCAGGAGGCGAACGATCCAAGCAGTGTAGATCCGCGTTGGATTAGCGCTCATCGGGAATTTGCCAAACTAAAAGACAAGATGGCGACGACTCCGATCCTCCGACACTTCGACGCAGACCTGTTGCCGGTACTGGTCGTGTACGCTAGTGAGTGGGCCATCTCGGCTGCCCTGATGCAGGAGCACGACGGGATCCACTATCCAGTAACGTTCACCAGCCGCACCCTGAAGTCAAACGGGCTTAACTGCGGCGTGGTTGAGAAGGAGGCGTTGGCTCTGTTGCGGATCCTGGATCTGGGTTACAACATGTTAGTTGGACGCTCGATCCGAGTCTTGACTAGACATTCGACGTTGGCCTGGTTGTTCAGATCCACGGGCCTACAAGGGCGATTGGGACAGTGGGCAACGACAACGCGGACCGCGTTGTCGTGCCCAATGACCATGACCTGCGACTCAGGATCATGTACGAGTATCACGATGCACCGACTGCGGGGCATCCGGGCCGTGAGAAGACATACCTTCTTCTCACGCGATACTTCTACTGGGCCCACCAGTACAAATGGGTGCGCAAGTACGTCCGTGCTTGCGAGGTTTGTCAACGTGTGTAGCCTGCGCCTTTCGCGCAGGCTCCCTTGCAGTCACTGCCGACTCCGTCGGAGTGTTGGCAGTCCATGTCTTTGGACTTTGTGTTCGGTCTTCCCCCGGACAGCCAGGGGAACACGGGCGTTGTGGTCTTTGTTGACCGCTTCAGCAAGGTGGTACATCTTGCTGCGGTACCCGCTGAAGTGACCGCGAAACCGACGGCGCGTCTGTTCGTTGACATGGTGTTCAAACACCATGGCATGCCGATCGACATTGTGTCGGATCGAGACCCGCGCTTCACTGCACACCTTTGGCAAGAAGTGTTTACACTTCTTGAGAGTCAACGTCAACTTTCGATGTCGACTGCGAACCATCCGCAGACGGACGGGCAGACCGAACGCGTGAACCGCGTGCTCGTAGACGTGCTTAAGAACTACGCTCACTCGTTCCAACACTGAAGCGAGTGCCTGCCGATGGCGGAATTCGCCATCAACAAATCGGTGCATGCCTCGACTGGGCATACATCGTTCTACGTGAATGCCATCAGGCACCCACGCCTCCCGAGTCTACTCGGGATAGTGGCTCCTTCCTTAAGTGGGGGAGGATCTACGACTGCAACGCAGCAGCCGCAGAATTCCGCTGACACTTGCACAGTGTCAGCCGCGACTACGCGCAAAAAGAACAAGACGCACGCGTCAAGAGCAAGAAGAAGAAGAAGAAGAACGTGTCTGTGAAGGGCACAGACAACCGCAGAGGCCGGGCCTACTGCTAGAAACGAGCTGAACGAGTTCAGCTCGGACGCAATCAACTTCGTGCAGCGCAGACAAGCCGTCATTCGGTTTGTCCAAGACGCTATTGCAGCTTCTGTCGACCGACAGAAGCTGAACGCAGCCAATGTTGGTAGGGGAAACACTAATGAATTCAAGAAGGGTTCATTGGTTTTGTTAGCAACTCAAAACCTGCCTAAACATGCAGTTTCCGACTTCGGGGCATGCAAGCTCGCTCCGCGCTTCATCGGGCCGTTCACGGTGTTGGCACGACATGGCAACGCCTACACGCAAGACATTCCATCTAGCATGCGCCTCCATCCGACCTTTTACGTCGGGCGGCTGAAGCCATACCGGCAGCACGAGCCACCTAGCTCGGCTGAACCGAAACAGAAGACTCGGCGGAAGCCGTCATCCTCACCAGCGCGAAGTCGCGCTGGAGCAGCGGGTCGAGCTAATGGTCCAGCTCGGCCGGAACGATCGAGGCGGCCTGGGAGGCCGCCGCAACCTGAGGATACTTCAGAGCGCCGAACTCAGCGCTCTGGAACTACTCCACGACCGGAACTTAGTCGTGGGGAGACGCGAGATCAGGGTCAACACCAAGTTGACCATACACGGGGCGTGTTTCCACCACCACCGCCGCCAATTCGTGACGCACACGGCTCAAGTCGATGGATTATTGAGCGGATTGTTGGTCACAGTATCCCGAGAATGAACAGGCAACCGGTTCGTTTTCGTATCCGTTGGAGAGGATTCCCTCCCAACCAAGATACATGGGAGCCGCGGACGTCTTGCTCGAAGACGTCCCGGACATGGTGAAGGCGTATGAAGCCCACCATGCGCTACGCGCTGGAAAGCAATACGAGCGCTGTTGTTAACAACAGCGCCCGAAGGCACTTCAAGGGCAGGCAGTGGGTCCTGCCCCCGCGGCAGCGACGCGCTTCGCACGTTTCCGCGGATGCTACTCAGCAGCAGAGAGGTTCTCCGCTGATGCGCCAGCGGTCTTCAACTTTGACGCGCTCGTTCCATTACGAGCGCGCTCTCTTCAGCGTCACGCATTGACCAAGCGGTCAATGGTGGTTGACGTGCCGTGACTCGGCGCGTCTAACCTTGAGGGGGGATGGTGTAACAGTGTTACACGCGCAAGTGGCTACAGTCACCTGTAACTCTAACAGACACGACGTCTGTTAGAGGTTCGAAAGACTTTCTCGACCTTGGTGTAGATACACCAAATGCTACATACATTTACGACCACCACGACGGGTGGTCCATAGAGACTTAGGATTCCTATTGGCTGAAAGCAGCATCTTTTAGCCAATGAGCGACATGCATAGCATTGGAATTCTGCCAACCAGCCGTTGGCAGATTCCTATCTTAGAATATTACATTTAGAGGAAGTCAGAAACATAAAACAAAAATAGCAGTTCTCATCTTTTACCAAAACACGCTACTTGGAGTCTTTATATTGTTTAAAGTATACTCGTGGATCTCGAGTATACTTAACTCAAGTAAAAACCTACGCTTCCTCATACACGTGCGCATACGTGTAAGCCGTAGTAGTGAGCCAAGGTAGGCCCATTACAGTAGTCAATACAGAGTCTGATGTCGACCCCGTTCTTCTTGACGATCACCACGATCGGTGATGCCCAAGGGGACGTTGAGATCTTGATCATCTTGGTCGACAGGAGCCCCTTGATTAGCTGCTTCAGCTTTTCGCGGTACTGCGGCGCCGCTTTACGGCAACGCTGAGCGACTGGCTTCGCGTTTCCGACGTCAATGTCGCAGATCGCACCTTTTGCGGCCGGTGGTAAGGCATTGCCTTTTCCAATAAGCAAGTGCTTCCGGCGCCAGATGATCTTCCGCAGCCGGTCGATTTCCTCCGGCGTGTTTTCGCCAGGATCGCCAACTTGGATATCCGTGATCACGACTTCGTCAGTGGTGAACTCCGGGAGCACTGCCATTTAACCTTCGACATCTTCCGCGTAGAGATCACCGCCTTCCGTGATGCAGACTTCAGGATCTTCCGGGTCAACTGCATTTGGACGTGGATCAGCTTCAAGATCACTTCCCGACGCGTGTTTACGCGTCTCGTGACTGACGCTGGGGCTCGCTGGATTTTCGTCCGTTTCGACCCGTCGATCTCGATTAGACGCCTGATTTACGCCTGTCGCACCACCGTAATCATGATGAGACGCCTAATTTGGGCCCGTCGCAACCACTCGATCTTGATGAGACACCTGATTTCCACCCGTCGCAACCACTCGATCTTGATTAGATGCACCATATCGCACCGGCTGGGGCCGGTCGCAGCCTTGATCCTTCAAACAATCCGTGTCGCAGGCTGTATTTCCAGCGTCGTAATCACCCGATGGTCTCTCCGCCCCCTGCGAAGTTGCGAAACCATGGCGCGTTTCTCCGGTGCCGAGTTCGTCGCTGTTCTTGGGCTGCTCGTCCCCGCCGGGCGTCGAGTGAGACGCGGTGGGGTTGCCGCACGACTCTTCCGGGTTGGAATCGTCGGGGCGCTTGGACGCCACGCACTCGGTGCGCACCGTGGCCACCTCTGCTCTCTTCGCTGGCCGGGTCAAGATCGCCGTCGGCGTTGTGTACTGCGGCCGCTCCACAACAGGCCCCTGCACGTCGGCGGGCTCAGACACGTCCTTGGTAGCGTCGATAGTTGCTTAGTACGCCACGTTCTGCCACTCCGCGTACCTGCGAGATCCAACGGAGACATACCCAGGTAAGCGCGGCACTCGATCTCCGGTCAGCCACATCGCGAGTCGCGTACCCTGATGCAGCACTAACTCGCGATCGCTCACGTTTGTCAGTTGCAGGTAGCGGATCTTGCCCGGGACACCAGTCACGCTAGACACCCACCGATCGCCGCGCGTAACCCAGAGTTTCTGATGCTCTGTTGATCTTGTGCGCAGCTGTTGAAATGGACAGTTTACACAGAGTAGGTAGCTCACTACAATGTATCACTCTTTTGGTTATCCTCTCTTCCTATGACTACTACTCTAGATCCGTGCTCGGTACCTGGAGGAAAAAGAGGAAGTGAGCTCGTCTTCGGATTGCGTCCTCGACTCCTCACTCCTCGGCCTCGTGTCGTCATCGCACTATGTATGGTTGGCAGGTAGCTCTCTGCCTGCACTATCCAGACCACAGCTGGCGATCTGAACTTCTCTCGTACTTGCTAAAACAATAATAACATGTTTGAGAGGGTTTGCTTTCAGTTGCAAAATAACTCGACTGGCAGACAGGCGAAGCCTGCTGCCACCCTGCGAGCAGGGCGCGCTCGGCGCGCCTCTTCATTTAACACTCCCACTAAGTACTAGGGTAAAGTTTCAGATCTCGCACTCCTAGTTTCTCTTTTAGTTTCAGGAATTGTTTTGTGGGGAGAGTTTAGTGAGAATATCCGCAGTCATCTCTGTTGTAGAGCGGTAAGCTATCTTGAGGCGGCCAAGTTCAACGAGGTCCCTCGTAAACAGGTAGCGGATCTCGATGTGTTTGTTTGCTTTGTGATTTTCAGGATTTTTCACAATGCTAATGGCAGCGTTGCTGTCACACCATACCTGCACTGGTACCTTTTGAGGAAACCCCATTTCTCCCAGCAAGTGCCACAACCACTCACTTTCTTTAGCTCCCTCACTTAGTGCGATGAGTTCAGCTTCAGCAGTACACCTCCCTGCTTGCTACTACACCATGACACACTGGCTCCGGCCATTTGGATTACGTACCCTGTTACGGATTTACGTTCTTTAGGTTGACACGCGAAGCTCACGTCAATGTACACTTCGTAAGTCACGCCTCTCGTTTTTCCATCGAGAAACAGACCGTACGTTGACGTCCCTTTCAAGTATTTGAGTACTCGCCTAGCCGCTTCCCAGTGCGTGCAGTTGTAACAAGACAGAAATTTGCTCAATTCTCTAACCGCGTTGGCGATGTCCGGTCGTGTGCCACGGACCACATATTGGAGTGATCCAACAATGCCTCTGTAGTCGTAAGGCTGCGCAGCAATCTGCTCTGCGCTCATATTCGTCTCTGGCTCGAGTACGAGGCCAGGTACTTGCGGTGTCATCACCGGCGAGATATCGACCAGTTTGTACTTCGTGATCAGCTCTGCAATGTACTTGCGCTGTGAGATCATCATCACACGCTGGTTCCTATTACGAGTTACCTCCATCTTGAGGATGTAGTGAATGTCGCCAAGGTCTTTCATCTTGAACCGTTTTGACAACTCGGCTTTGAGCCCATCAATTAGTCGCATGTTCCGCGACATGATCGTCAGATCATCGACGTAGACCACGACTATGATCCAATCTACTCCCACTTTTTGCACGTAGATGCAAAACTCTTTGTGGCAGCGTGCAAAGCCCATCGACGTCAAAAAGGTATGTAGGACTTTATACCAGATGCGCGGGGCTTGTTTCAGGCCATAGATGCTCTTCAGAAGTTCACAGACCAAGTGCTCTTGGCCTCGCTTCGCAAAACCGTGAGGTTGCCTCATGTAGATCTTTTGCTCTCCTTCCATCGTGCCGCTCAAGAACGCCGTATGGACATCCATCTGGTGGATATGACAGTCCAATATCGTCCCTATCGCCAGCACTAGGCGCAGCGACTCAAATCGTGCCACGGGTGCGTATACCTCATCACAGTCTACCCCAAACTCCTGGTGGTTGCCCTGTGCTACGAGGCGTGCTTTGAACCGCTCGACAGTCCCGTCGGCGTTATACTTTACTACTAGTACCCAGTGACAGGGCAAAGCCTTGCGTCCGGGTGGCAGTTTTACGAGTCTCCACATCCCATTCTCGATCAAGGAGTCGTACTCAAGTTCCAGAGCTTGTTTCCATTGCTCTCTATGAGGTCCACTTAAGGCTGCTTTGAGCGACCGTGGTGTCGGCACTTTGTGGTCTAGTATGTCCTGCGCAATGTTCTTATCTAGCATCGCCTGGAAGCACTGCTAGTCCGCGTATCTCTTCGGCTTCTTCGCCTCTCTACGTGGGCGGGGTTCACGCCTCTGTGGCGTATCGACGAGTCCCACACGTTGGCGTTTCTTTTGAGCTCCCACTGCTGGGTTACTGTTTTCAGTAGCTGCTTCAGCTCCCACTGCCTCAGTAGACCCCTGTGCTCGTGATTCAGCTCCCACTACTGCCGTGGACCCGTCGGCAAGTGCTTCAGCTCCCACTGCCTCCGTAGACTCGGTGGCTAGTGTTTGGTTTCCCTCCGCTGCGGGTGGCTCGCGCGCGGCAGATTCAATTGTGAGGGGCTCTTCGGCCTGGCCGAAAGCTCGCTGAACCATGGTGGCTACATTGGTCGTATCAAACAGCACTTCACGCGATAAGATGTGCTTGTTGTTATACATGTCCCAGAGTCTATAACCCTTCGTTTCCTCAGATATTCCGAGAAACCGGCACTTTACGGCGCGAGCAGACAGCTTTTCGTCCTTTCTTAGGGCGGCAGGAACGTGCGCAAAGCACACACATCCCCACACAGGTAGCTTGCTCACGTTGGGAGGCTCCCCATACACCATCTCATACGGTGTCTTGTTTCCCAAACGTGCCATGGGTGTGCGATTCTGCACATAAGTCATGTACATGAGCGCCTCTGGCCACCACCTGTGTTCCATAGCTGCGTCCTTCAACGCGCAACGAACTCTATCCAGTTTGCTCTGGTGGTCTCGCTCTGCAGCTCCGTTTTCTTCGGGGCTGTAGGCTGGAATACGATGCCTTTGCCTTTACAGAAGCTTTTAAAGGCTGCATTCACAAACTCAGTTCCTCCATCGGACCGGATCCGACGAATCGTGAACTTTCCCTCACGCTCAAGCTGCAAAAGTAGCTCCTCTACTTTCTCAAAGCCTTCTTTCTTACTGCGTAGGACGTAGGTCCAGCGCCACGACGTGTTGTCGTCAATGATAATCAGGAAGTATTTGATTTTCCCGCAGCTGCCATACACCCCTATGGTCTTCATGGGGCCGTTTGTGTCCATATGAATGGTGCTGATTGGGTTCTCATCTCTCGAGCTCTTCGCATTCCGGTAGGACATTCTCCTCTTCTTCATCTCTGCACAAGTTGTGCAAAAGAATGGGATCTTTCTTAGACCTGGCGCGGGAAATTTTGGCATTCCAGCCACCACTTTTGGGCTTAACATTGCAATTAATGCATCCTTATTAAGGTGGCCCAGCTTAACATGCCACTCCTGCAGTGTGCGCTCTAACCTCTCAGTACCTAGGCGAGCTAGTGGTTTACAGGGCTCCTGTTTCACTGCGTTGCACAGCAGTTGACGCTCTTACAGTGTTTTATTCTGTATATAGTATGCCCCGTTAATTGCTTTTGCAACAAACACTAATTCATTGGCAAAGAACACAAATTTGTACTCGCCAGTTAGGGAGCCAAATATCTGGTACCCACCGCGCCTGAGCCAGAACTCGCTCAGAATGTTCGAGGTAGCGTCCGGTACTAACGCAATATTTTCGAACAGAAAAGGTCTAATTCCTTGTGGACCATGCAAATACAATTTTATCGTACCAAGATGTGTATTTGAATGTTTAGAGCCCTGTGCGAATGTAAACATGTACTGGTTGTTGGGCTCCTTCTGCACAAACCGCGCTGCCTCGCTGGTTAGTCCGTGCCCGCACCCTGAGTCAAGTACCCAAGAATTTGTGGTTAGATACGAATCATCGTCTAACAGAAATGGATACAAACTTCGCACCTTTTTCTCGAGGTCAGTCAGCATGCCGGCGAAGCTCTTCGTCGCCTCGGCAATCTCTTGATTGCTGCCCTCGCTTGGCTGTCCTTCCATGTCCACATCGTCGTCCAATTGCTTAGCGGCGGCTGGAGCCGTGCCCGAAGCGTCAGCTTTCACGGCGTTGACGACGCTCTCCATTGGCTCGTCTTCGTCGCTCATCGGCGAAGCACCCTTTCCCGGCGTGTCAGGCTGCTGAAAGTTGCTTGGGGGCGGGCTCGTGTACCCATCCGGGGTCGCGGGCAGCGAATCTTGCTGCGCGTCGCACGCGTCTACCGCCACGACTTTGGCCAGGCACTCAGCCAATGGAATTTCACGACGCTCCTTGGCCTTGGCCTTGCCCTTTCCATTGCCCTTCATCTTGGGTGTAGGCTCGTGCACTTCCTTGCGAGCCGTGCGGCTGGGGTACGTCCACACGTTGCGGCGAAACACACCCGCAGCCCTGTCTGCGCGACGCGCGGGGCAGTCAAACATCTTGGGTAGGCCAATGCCATCCCGATCGTTGTGCGCGCCTGCGCAGTAGTGGCACTTCATGTACCCGACGTTGTAGTGGACGTCGTTGATCGGACCGTCTGCGGCCTTTCGCTTGCCCAGAACGGATCCCTTCGGATTTGTTGGAGCCGTCGTGGCTGGGGTCGACTTGACGTGGTTGACCACCCTGCCGCTAGCCAGCGCCATAATTTCGCTCTTGGTCTTGTTGCCAAAGACGTTGGCAAGCTTCTCGCTCACCTTCTCCAGCGTGAAGCTCTCCTCCGTGAACTTGACGGAGGAGCCCCACATGTGCCTCGGAAGCACACCGAGCACCATGACCAGCATCATCTTCGACGTGATCATGTGCGTGTCAACCAGGGGTGTACTTGAAATGTTGAAATGAACAGTTTACACAGAGTAGGTAGCTCACTACAATGTATCACTCTTTTGGTTACCCTCTCTTCCTATGACTACTACTCTAGATCCGTGCTCGGTACCTGGAGGAAAAAGAGGAAGTGAGCTCGTCTTCGGACTGCGTCCTCGACTCCTCACTCCTCGGCCTCGTGTCGTCATCGCACTATGCATGGTTGGCAGGCAGGTCTCTGCCTGCACTATCCAGACCACAGCTGGCGATCTGAACTTCTCTCGTACTTGCTAAAACAATAATAACATGTTTGAGAGGGTTTGCTTTCAGTTGCAAAATAACTCGACTGGCAGACAGGCGAAGCCTGCTGCCACTCTGCGAGCGGGGCGCGCTCGGCGCGCCTCTTCATTCAACAGCAGCTTCACCTCAACGGATCCCGCTATGTCGATCTCGCGGTAACCGGTCAAGGTCTCCTGCTCCACCTTGGCTCCGTAGAGCGGATGTCTCCCAGCGAGCTGGATCCGCACTTCGTCTGGCAGGCAAGATCGAGGCGGATACCCGCCGGTACCATGAAGTCCATGCCGAGGATTAAGTCCTGACCGCCTGTCGGCGGACCCACCCAAACATCGAAAAATACACAAGTGATCCAGCGAGCGTGATGTTGACCCGTGCACGTCCTTCCGTCATGTATGGAGAGTTTCCGACGCCTTCGCACTCCAATGTCTGACTTTCGTCAATGTAGCACCCCACCTTACGAGCAAATGCGGTGTCTAGGATAGACACTTCGGCACCACTGTCAAACAACAGAGTAGCTTTTTCGTTGTTGATATTGCCCACAGCTTTCGCTTGCTTGAACTTCTTTTCAGGCACATGGTATTTCCGGTAACCACGCGACTCCCCCAACGCGATATCCAAAGCCATCTTCACACTCGATCTTGAGTAGTTATCAACTTGGTGAAGACTTGACATGGCAGCCGTAGGTTTCTTTTGAAGATCACATGTATCATCGATGAGTTTGCTTACAGTCGACTGCGACTGCTTCTCGAAATACGCAAAGATGCAGAACTGAGAACGCTCGTCTCGTACCGGAATCCAACCCGGCGAGCGTCCTAGTTTAACATTTTCTCCGCAGACTCGGGCAACATGCCTCCGTGCTTGGTGGGATTGTACCACTGGCGGATCAAGTTGTAAAATTCCTCCATCGGACAGCTTCCTTCGTCATGAATCTCTCCGCAGGCCTTGCAGACAAAGAGACAGCGATCTGATGGGTGACCACGCATACCGCATTTTTCACACGTCAGCCGCTTCCAGCATCCCAGATTGCCGTGTTTGGTAGACCCACAATGAGTGCACCGCTTGAGGGGCGGCCCCATGTCGATCGATTTAGAGTGATGTCCTGGTCGACGATCTTGACGGCCTCGATCTTGATCCGGTGGACGCCGATCTCGGCCGGCCGAGCGATGTTCAGTCGTTCCATGATCGTTACTGGCTGAAGTCGCGTACACTCGACGCAGATCTCCCTCTTCATCCGAGTCGCTTGATCCTGCATCCAAGTCGCTGCTCAGTTGGATCACCAAACCGACACTCTGCGTCAGGGGAGTTTGATCCTGACGACCTCGATCTCAGTCGGCCTATCCGCGCGGTGGTAGCAACAACGGCTACTGCTTCGCCTGGAGGAACTGGGGCGCACCACGCATTCGTGTGTCTGCAATGTCGGACTGAAAGAGTTTTCCGGAAAGGACGGCGACGAAGATCGAGCTCGATCTTGGGTCAGCAAGGTAAGATCGGCTTTCGTCCGCGATCAAGCACCTGATGATGAGAAGTGTCTGGCGTTCGGCGATTTGCTCAGTGGTCCAGCGCGAAACTGGTATACGCAGCTGAGCCGAACAACTCGCACCACGTGGAAAGACCTGCTCCAGAGTTTCCAGGTCCAGTATTGTGGGCGTGGTGTCTCGGTTGCCCGCCAGTACTACCATGCTCGGAAACGATCTGACGAGTTGCCTCTGGAGTACCTCCACAGGCTCAACGTCGCAGGCCTGCGGACACGTCTACAAGTCACGGACGGACCGCCTGACGTGCGCCGGGAACATGTGGAACACTTTATCGAGACTTTGGATGACCGCGATCTAGCGGGCCAGCTTGCCCTGCTTCGGATTCCCGACGCGGACACTCTGGAAGAAGTTTTGCGATCTCGCCAGCGTGCCAAAGCGCGACAGAGCAAGACGGTGTTCGGCTCGATTAAGCCCCGCCCGAAGCCGCAACTACCGACGGAACAGAGGAAGGCCCGGCAACGGACCTAGACGAAAAGCCTCAACCTCCTCCCCAGGTCCCCTCGGGGACCCCCGCAGGGCACGATGCGAATCGTGACCTGCCGGATGAAAGTCCACCGGCGCAAGCCGGAACCCAACCACCCAGCGCTAGATCGACCAAGAAGAAGCCAGCAAGATCGAAGTCGTCGCGGAAGAAGATGAAGGCTCCAGACTCCGATGCTGACGATCGAGCCGATCTCACACTGACCGTGGCTGAGGACCAACTGGTTGTAACGTACTACAAGAAGGAGCTGCACGCTTTCCTGCTTCAGGACGATGTGATGAAGCTCCTCCGGCCAAAGCTCCTCGGCGATCTTGCGGGACCGGTGTCACAGCCGACCCCTGGATCGGACAAGTTGGATGCCGTTCAGACCCTGCTACGGCTCTTCAAGGAAGTTGGTATCATCGCAGGAGTGCTGGATGCGGAAAGCCTGTTCGATCTGAAGCTCAGCACGATCCAGAACTCGGCGCAGAGGCTGTTCCTGCTATTGAAGCCGTTGGTCGGTGAGTCGAGTCGATCCTTGAAAGAAACATCAAGATCGCCCCAGACGCTATCGAGATCGGCACCCCCAGATCGACGCCTGCGCCCAACCCGGGTGGCCAAACTAGGCTTTGCCGATCCGCGGATCGATCATGTTTCAGCAGCGTCGACGGCGATCCGATCTCTGTCGACGCTTCATTCCCTTGTCCAAACTCGGCTTGCGCATCCTCTTGGAGGGACGCACGGTGAAATCCCGAGTCACTCAAAGATCCGGGCACGACACGGCGCCCGAACTACCGTCTAACGGAGGGGGTACTCCGATCTTCCGTGAAGTTGCTGATCCTCACCTTGTGTACCCATCGGTGGGCTGGATCGCTCTTCGGGATCTCGAGAAGACGCGCTTGGGGTTGAGTCTTGGACGGTCTGGCGGGCAGCGGGAACTTGTGGCAGCAACGCGGATATGCTTCACGCTGTGACGGAGTAGTTGTGGCGGTTTCGATCTGGGGTTGTCTAGATTGACACTCGCCGGCCAGGTGTGATCTTGGCCTGGGGTTGCCTTGTGGTCGGTGTATGGCCTTCCTTTCCTTTACTTGCTTGCCGCTTCCTCTAGCGGTGGATCGAAGTGAGGGTTGTCGGACGCTGGGCCAAGCTATCCTGGCGTCCGAGGTTCCTTGATCTTGGGGTGTAAGTCGACTTGCGTAGCGTCGGGTGGGCCAAAGTATATCACGTGCCCGGTATTGCGAAGGCAAAGACCACTTGTGAAGAAGGAGGTAAAATCAACTCTGTTTAAAATGTTAGCTTGTCCTAAGTCCTTGTCCTATCGTTCTCCTGCACTCCTGCGCTCGTGCGGTCTGTGCGCGTGCTCTCTCGGTGTCTGCGCAACCCGTGCGGTCGACATCATCACTCTTTCTCCAAGATCGCGTCATCCCCGCCAAGATCGATATCGTCGACTTGGATCGATTACGCCGGGGTTTGGCTCTCAAGCACCTCCAGAGACGTTGTTCACCTTGATGTTGCCCCCTTGACCTTCTTGCTGGTTACTATCGTGCCAGACTACGCGTCGCCACGCTTTGCCGATCTTGGTCCACACTGTCGATCTTGGCCATCTTGTTGATCTTGGGTATCCGCGCGAAAATATCTCCATCCACTACACCACACGGTCGATCGGGGAAGTCCCTGACCAACTTCAGCTTCGAAGCATGCGCGATCGGAAACAGGTGATAGTCCGTACCAGCGACCTGAAGCTTCATCGTGTACTCGTTCACCTTCTCCGCAACACAGAACGGGCCGTGCCACAGGTGCGCCAGCTTCCGGGCATACCACGATCCAGGTACAGCCACACCTGAGATCCAGCCTCGATCGAGTGTGGTCGAACTTCTTCATTGTGTCGATCGGCCCGATCCGCGATCGCCTCGCGTAGGCGAGCATTCACTTGACTTCGAGCCTGATCGTAGTGCCTCTGGATCCGATAACGCCGCCGTCGAGGATTCCGACCCCGAGTCCGAGTACTACCGAAAGGTATCGTCGCCTCGAGCGTCGATCGAGGATCCCAACCATGCACCAGATAAAAAGGGGAGTCCCCACGGACTCGATCTTGAGCCGTGTTGATCGCGAAGGTCAATCGCTCTGCGTACTCATCCCAATCTCTCTGATCCAGATCGTCCACGAACATCTTCAGGGCTCACGTCGCCGTCTGTGCCATTCGCTCTGCAGGACCGTTAGCTTGAGGTCGATATGCCATCGTCGCTCGCTGACGCATACCCAGGATCTTGTTAAAGGCGCGGAAGAAGTCAGCCATAAATCCCGGTTCGCGATCATGCCTGATCACCTCGCTAGTACCAAATCGCCGGAACACGCACTCTTCGTAAGACTCGGCGATCGTCTGCGCCGTTCGGGACGAACTGGCCTTCGCGATCACGTATCCCGTGAACAGATCGACCTAGACCAACAGTTCCGTATTACCCTTGTACGACTTCGGCAGCGAAGGTATGTGATCCATCGCTATGATCTGGAACGGGTATGTCGCCTGGATGTTCCCCGGCGACTCGCCCCTGATCGTGGGTCATCCTTTGCCGGTCTCGCAGTCGACACATTCACCGACGTACTTCTGCACACTCCTGAAGAGACCTCACCAATGAAAGTGATCGCGGATCCGCTGATAGGTACGGCCGATCCCCTGGTGTCCACCTTCCAGAGTGGAGTGATAGTGATTCAAGATGTCTTGATGCAGCGTCTCCGGTGCCACCAGTCTCATCAGTCCATCCCGATCTGCCTCCGATCGCTTGGAGGGTGGGCAATGGAACAGCAGATTATCACCGTCGATCTCATAGTCCGCTGCGATGTTGCCATAGGATCGAACCTCATCCTGTGTCAGATCAGCCACATCTTCATACCCGCGACCACGATTCTTCATCCTGTGCTCGACGAATCCGATCAATCCGCAACCCTCGCACAAACTCCTCCTGCATGACGGTCGGGTTCGGCCGTGATCTGGTGCCCGATCGGGTGGTCATCGGCGATAGTCGGGCGATCGACTCATCCGATCGGACGACCAGGATCTCATCAAGTCGGTTCAGTGTCACTAGATTCCCATGGTCGGCATCATCCTCGACGTCGACGCCCCCTTCACGTTGGAGTGTTGCACTGGCCAGGCTGTCCGCACTTCCGTTCCAGTCTCGTTTCACATGAAACATTTCGTGATCTGGCCACTTCCGTAGTTGATCCAGCACCTCCTGCTTCAACAATGTCAGCTTTGGTGCTTTGCAGTCGATCTCGCCCCGTACTTGTCGCATCACCAGGTTGGAATCACCGCAGACCACTAACCTGCCTCGATCTATGCCGTCAAGGAGGTCGAAACCCAACAACAGACCATGATACTCCGCCTCGTTAACAGTCAGCCTTTCAGCATAGCCCGATCGTGCCTTCACCACACTCCATTCGGGTAACTTCCACAAGATCGCACTGTACGCACCCCCGCTTCGCTTGACGCGGGCAGATCCATCGAAACTTATCACCAGCAGCTCTTCGTCCGCACGTACAGTCGGGATCGGGGCCTGAATCTTCCGCCGGGGTTCTTTCTTCGGCGTGATCGCGATCAACGCGTCGTCCATATCCGATCGAGGCGTAATACTAGCGGCGATCGCCCCCAATATCTCGTCCTCTCCCTTGGTGCACTTCGTGACCTCCAGTGTCCAGGGCGATAGGAGTGCAGCCCACTGACCCAATCGGCCTTGAAGACCGGGTGATCGGAACAGCCACGCCAACGTCGAGTGTCGGGTGAAGACCCGGATCGATCGTCCAACTAGCACGTTATAGTTCAGGTCCAGGATCCGTAACAGCGCCAGCACTTCTTTCTCCACACGTTGTAGCTCAATTCATTCGGCTGTGGTGTAGGAAACACCAGATTTCGCGCGACCAACTCGGCTGGAGTGGTACACTGTACCGGTAGCCGAGCTCAGCCGAGTTCACCAGCTTATCCGGACACCTTATCCGGCTCAGCCGAGTTCGAAGAATTGTCCGGATAGCTCATCCGGACCAGCCGAGCTCAGGTGTCGCCGAGCTCAGCGAAGAGTTGCCGAGACCCAAAACCGCCCACTTTCATTTGGTATTTGTATAGGAGCTTAGGAATAGTGGAGGTGCCCCTTCAGGGCGCCCGACAGAGATAACAAACAACAGAGCAGAATTTTCTAGGTCCACAACACGTGAACACGTTCCCGTAAGTCCCTGCACGGGGCCGGATTATGTCTGCTGCCGGTCCCGAGAGGCATAGCTTGTAGGGTACTCGGCTGGCAGCGCCAAGAGATTAAGGTCGGCCCGGGTTGGGCGCGAGTCTCGCCAAGCGCGAGGGAAAGTCTCGCCACCGCTGCGAGCCGGTGTTCCCGTACGTCTCGGGCACTGATTGCTGAGTCGAGAAGCCTTTGCTCTCGGCGACCTGTAAAAGCGCTCCGTGCGCCGTCGTCCATCCTTTGGTAGAGGGCACAGGTTGAGTGAACGGAGGCCGTCGAACTCGGCGGTTCTCCGGAGGAGTGATCTTGGTTGGCAGGTCTCGGCGAGAGGCGAGACACCCGCTGTACCGGTTGGGCCGAACCGCTCGGGGGCAACCCGGCGCAGGCCAACAAAGCCGACCAGCTCGGCTATTGTTGTGTTTGTAGCCAAGTTACCACAACTGACGATTTTGTGTGTACTGCTATACCACAACTGGTGCCGCGACCCGGGAACAGGGGTGTGCTTGTGTTTCGTAGGTACCAGCTAACCAAGGTTTGAGAAGAAGAGAAGAGAAGAGAGTGTGAAGATGGTCATGGGAATTTTTACGCCGAGTCCAGCGACGGTTGGAAGTAACTCGGCTGGACTGACCAACTCGGCGGACTCGGCGAATGCGATGATCACGGACGCGACGGCGGACGAGGCGCGCACCGTCCAGTTCGATGAGGAGGATGCCCAAGACCAAGAAAGTGAGGAAGATGTTGTGGATGAGTATGAGGAGAAAGCCGAGCTACTCGGCGAAGTCGACGAGTTGTCGCTGCAAGGCGGACGAATGGGTACCCCACGTCCAGTTGTGCGCAACCTGGCGGCCGAGCTCGGCAATGATACGGACGACGAAGATCAAGCCGCCGCTCAAGGGGAACGTCCGCCCCTGATCCCGCGAGCGACGAGGAATGCGGATACACCAAGTGCGAACAAGGTTCTGGGCAGGCTCGGAGAGGAGATGTGAGCTCAGAGCGAGTGGATGATGATGTTTGCCCCAGTGGCGATGGCTCAGGCGAGATGGCCGGTGCTAGGGCCCGAGCTGACTCAGCCGGTGAACAGCACCGACATCAACCAACTGGTCGAAGACACGGTGCTGCTACTCAAGGCGATGGGGTTCCGGTGCACGAGCCGACCCAACAGCCTGCTACTCGGCGATTGGGACCCCAGCCGAGCTTCACGCGAAATCCTCAAGTGGAAGCGTCGGTTGAGAGTCTCGTTTGGTCTCGAGCGGGGGGCCGTCGGAACTCGGCAGACTATTGCGAAACGAGTGGCTGATACTCCGAAGACCGTCGAAGACCCCAGCAGGATTCCCCTGCCGAAGACTCCCGAACGCAAGAGAGCCGAGGTGTTCCGCTCTACTGAGGATACGCCGTATTTCGAAGATTCGCATATGAAGACGCCAACGCGTGGCAAGCAGCCAAGTGGACGCTACGCTGAGTGTTTGACGCTGCAGACGCAGCCGAGCTCAGCGACAGCGACGATGGGCGCGAGTACCTGAACCCGGCTGAAGAGTCGGTGAAGGACGTCATCAAGCACCTTAGCTTCGATGACGCTGAAAGTGATCGGACGCAATACTTGGAGGTTCGCACCCATGCGTCCCTCGACAAGATCCCTATGTTCGAAGGCAAACGTTACCGACCGGATGACTCTCTCCAGTGGCTTAAGCGATTCATCTACGAGATGAAAGGAACTCGGCTGGCACAAGACCTCTGGTACGAGCCATTCTCGCTGAAGCTGGAGCTAGGCGCGAAGAGCTGGTATCGCCAGCTCCCGAAGAAAACGCAACGGAAGTGGAGTAGGCATTCGCCGACTACTACTGTTCGCAGTTTGACCAGTCGGCACGAGCTCGCTATTACTCGGCTCAGCGCAAAGACAACGAGCTGGTGTGTGACTTCCTCGTTCGTCTCAACGGATATGCGAAGTCGGCGAAAATCCAGTACGAGGCCGGTGGAGCGGATGCTGCTGACCATGTGGAACACTTCCTATTGCACTGCGGAGATGATGACATAATGGATCTGCTCTAGCCGCAACAGCTCACCGACATCAAGAAGGTCGAGAAGATCATCAACCAGAAGATCCTGGGGGAGCGCCGGAAGAAACAGCGCGACCGTCTCATCGGAAGCCGCAGCCGAGATGCCAAGCGCACCGATTCGCCAAGGCACTCGGAAGCTCGGCGGAGTGAGCCGCGTCGAGATGACCGCCGAGACGACCGCCGGGAACGACGCAGAGATGACCGCCGGGATGACCGGCGAAGCCGACGCGACGCTGGTCGAGACCGCCGACTAGCGACAGCGCTGCTGGAGGACGACCCGTGTGAGCTGGCTGAGAGACGCCAATCCAATCGGCGATCCAACCTCTACGACTCGGACAGCGATCAGAGCGACGGCAGCCAGCCGAGCTACTCCGACTCGGCTGTAGACTCGGAAGACGATTACATCGACACCGGGTTCACCAGCGATCGCGACCGTAGATCGGGGGACCGAGGGAACTCAGATGGGACACCAAGGAGTGATCACCGAAGGGGTCAGCCGAGCTCGGCTGACCGCGCCAGTCGAGGATACGATCGGCGTGACCAGACTGGGCGCTGAACGCCCTTCGTATGGACCTTGTGCTGCCTGCGGTGGTGCGAACCACTCCGTTCACTACTGCCGCCGTCGCTGCAAGTTCTGCAAGCAATTGCACGATGTCGGTTAATGCGAGCTGTTCCAGCGCTATGAGAAGCTCGCCGCATTTGTCAAGTCCAATGTCGACAAGTCCAAGTTACCTGAAGACCTCCAGGACCTCTACACGCCGAGTGATTTAAACTCGGCGGCCCGCCAACACTGACTGGGTTGGATGATACCGGGCTGCCACAGTCAGCTGAGCCAGCAGTAGAGGCGAACTTTGTGTTTGCCTTTGTGGGTGAGGCAGGAAGGCCCGAGGACCGAGGAGAAGACGACGTATTGGATTGTGAAAGCGATGGACTTGATGGTGAGCTCGGCGAGAGTGGAGAAGAAAGCCGAGCAAGATTGTGCAGTGCAGTTGCGACTCAGCGATCGACGGATGTGACCACAGCCACCAGAGTTATGAAGCTGCTCCCTGGGGAGCGACTCGGCTGGTGGTCGTCACAAAAGTTTGACCGCCGAGTTCGGATGAGAGCTCTCGTTATGGGAGCAGTGAACGACCACCGTACAAAGATATTGCTCGACACCGGTGCGAATGTGTCGGCAATAAGCGAAGGGTTCGTGAAGAGGCTGCGGTTGAAGCGGTTCACACGCCAGGACCGACAGATTGGCGTTCAAGTTATTGGGAAAGGCAAAGTGGCGACGATGTCACGAGCGATGGTGAAGGTGACGCTCGACTGGGAGGTCACGTATGAATTTTAAGTATGGATCCTCGATCACCACGCGGGAGTCGAGTTGATTCTCGGTACGGACTTCATGATTCCGGCTGGGATCCGCCTGGATCTGTACAACTCGGTGGCGAAGTTGCCAGATGAAGTTGTCCTACCTCTCGTGAGGTCCCAGAACTCAGCGGATGAACCGAAGGGCGGCCTCTACATTACAGACGGCCCGACCGAACCGGTGAATCTCGAGAGCCGAGTTCCCGCTGAGTTCAGGCTGATGTGGAATCAACCGAGTGATGAAACACATGGCTTCTGGGTACGCCGGACTAAGGACTGGGTACCGACCGTGGTATTCGACCGGCGTAACCGAGTGGCTCGAGTTCGCCTGACCAACCTTAAGCCGACTTGGACGTGGTGCCCAGCACATTTCCCAGTGGTTGCCTGGGCGCCGCATGGGGTGTTACCGCCCGATAGTTACGTCAGGCTGCACTCGGCGAAGTACAAAGATTGGCAAGTCATGGCCTACGAAGCGGCTATGGATAAGGATCTGCTGCAAAAGGAACAACAGCTGTACGCCGAGTGGCTGGCTCGACAGCCGTCAGCTGTGGACCGTAGAAGCTACCCTGAACCGAAAGGGGTGACTACGTGGCCGTCTACCAAGCAGCGGGATTCGGCACTGACTTGCGCCCAGCAATGGGAGAAGTTAGCCGAGTCGGAGGAGCGAGCCGAGGCAGAAGCAGTCGATAGTCCACCCTCGACTCTGACAGAGCCAGCGAACTCGGCTATCGCTACCCTAGCGCCTGAGGAATTAGCATTGAGCGCGGAGCCTACTGCTGACTTGGTCAATGGCCCGCCTAGTCGAGCAGAGATCACAGTGACGGCTGGTCAAGAAGCGCCCAGCCAAAACGCTTGTGCAGCAGATGAGTGTGAAAGTGAGCAATCCAGCGATTTGTCTGACTGGACGATCCGGGCCCAAGCCGCCGAGTCCAAGGCTCGAAGATGAGGTCGATATGAGCGACGAGCCCATGTCGTCAGACCCGGAGGAAGACCTGCGCTTACGTTACCTTCTGGCAGCCAAGTACGAGGAAGAGGCAGATGGCCGAGGCGACTCGGTGGGAGACTCAGCCGAGTTCGAGCACCAAGCAACGAACTTGGAGCTCGAAGACTATGCTCGCGAGTTGGCGTTCCTGCCCGATCTGACTGAAGCGGTGTCGACGCCACTCGACTATGAAGCGCCAAACGTTCGGAGCTCGGCGCACACTCGGCCACAGTCTACTCGGCTGGTGGAAGTATTGAAGAGCCATGAAAAGATCATGATCTCCAGTGGTAATGCCCTACCTCCACCAGCATACGGCGAAGTGTGTGACATCGACGTACAGGGGCATCCGCCAATCCGCCAACGAGCCCGCCGAGTTCCGCTGAAGCATCTCGGCAAGTTGTACGAGCTGCTCAAGGCGCTGTTACGGGCTCGGCTAATTGCCTTCTCGAACAGCCCATGGGCATCACCCATCGGGATTGTCCTAAAGAAGAATGGGGTCGACATTCGGTTGTGTATCGACTACAAGCTGGTAAACGCGATTACGTTGCTCATGGAGTATGCCATACCGCTAGTGGACGATCTCCTCACGAAGTTGGAAGCGTACCTATGGTTCTGCTCTTTGGATGCTGCTAGCTGTTTCTGGGCGGTCATGATGACTCGACGGGCGCGTTGGATCTCGGCTTTTGTTTGCGCGCTTGGCCACTTCGAGTGGCTGCGGATGCCCTTCGGATTAAAGAATGCCCCAATGATCTACCAGCGCCTTATTGATAACGCTCTGTGGGGTTACGTACAACCCAAGGGCGGCTGGAATGTGTTCGCCAAGCGCATCCAACAAGCGGAAGCCGCCTCAGAAGCTCAGCGGAAACGGCTCGCAGCCGACATCGACTTTGAAGCCAGTGGCCAGACCAAGTTTGAGGCCGACCGCCGAGCTCAAGCTGAGTTTGACCCATTGGAAGAATTCATTAACAGCCCAGAAGCCGACATGTTCCGGACGGGTGAACCTGATGAATCGTGCCTTACACCGGTTTTCGACCGGCGATCGTTTGTGGACGATATCTGCTTCGGTGGGAGGACGTTCGACGATTGCTTGGGGACGCTTGACCGATTGCTGCAACGCTTCACTGAATGCCGCATCAGCATCAGCTTCCCGAAAAGCATCTTCGTCCAACCTAAAGTCGACTTCCTGTCACATGGGGTGACCTCGGCTGGAATCCAAGCCGACCAGAAAAAGATGCTGGCGACAGCCGGGCTACCGTTCCCTACGACGAAGAAGGGGATGCAAGCATTCTTAGGAGCGCTGAACTACTACGGCCGGTTCATCCAGAACCTGGCTGTATATGGGGCGGTCCTCTATCAGCTGATGGACGAAGATTTCGGACCTGGCGGTGATCTGACGGCCGCAAAAGCGGCGTTCGCCGAGTTAAAACAGCAGGTGGTCGACGCACCCATACTCCGCCACTTCAACTCGGCTGAGGACGTCCACGTTATGCTATTCGCCAATGAGTGGGCTCTGAGTAGCATGCTGATGCAGCTCCACGACGGGAAGCTCCATCCAGTGCGGTTCTGCGGCCGAGTCCTCAACGATAATGAACTCGGCTACCATCCCGCCGAGAAAGAAGTTCTCGCCTTGCTACAGCTTATCAAGGTGTGCCACACGTTGCTCGCCGGGAAGACCATCCATGTTTACACCCGCTACTCGACTCTCGAATGGGTGTTCCAGTCGAAGTCTCTCTACGGCAGAGCAGTCAGCTTTGCGGTACTGCTATTACCGTTCCACCTAAAGGTCAAGCGGGTCCGCGAACGGGACACGGATTTCGCCCAGTTGCTCCAAGCGTCCATCACGCCGGCAGTGGGATTGGACGAGCTACTAACGCATGTCACTCCACCGTCCAAGAACTCAGCTGTGGTCCGCATGGACCCAGAATTGCTGTATGCGCATGTGCCCCGAGACTTCAAAAGACACGTCCTGTCGTTTGACGGATCGGCGAAGACTGCTAAACACGGCGGGTTCGGGAGTTGTCCCCGCTCGGGAACCGTCCCGCCGACGTGATGACAGGCGTCCCGATGACTCGCGTCGCCGAGATGACCGGCGCCGCCAAGACACCCGAGACGGGTACCGCCGCGACGACTCGCGAACTGGCCACAGCCGTGGGGATCGACGGGAACGAGATTATGAGCGTCGTCGCGACGACTCTAGGAACGTTCCTCGCGTGGCCCTGGCTGACGCATCAGTGGAAGACATAGTCGCTGAACTGCAAGGACGGGACGTCAGGAGCACCTCGACCGGACGCGACAGTACGCGCCAGCAGTTCAGCGATGACAGCGACGCCGCCAGCGATCGAGGCTCCGATGACTCGTGGTACTCGGAGGAAGGCGGACACGATGGTTACTCAACGGATGGCAGCGATCACTACGTGGCTGCGGCTAACGAGAGCGAACGACGCGCGGCAGCCGGCGGCACGTACGCCAGGTCCGACAATCGGCCTTCCCGACGCGATTAGAGTGGTCGGGAACTCAGCCGGGACAACCGATACCAGAGCCGAGATGGCCGTGACAATCGACGACGCCAGTACGGTCCCTGCGCTGCCTGTGGTGGTCTCTCCCACTCGGCCCACTTCTGCAACCGGCGCTGCAAGTTGTGCAAACAAGTGCACGATGCAGGCCGATGCGAAGTGTTCCAAGAACTCACCAAGCTTGTCCGCAACAAGGTGGACAAGAAGGACCTCACACCTGAGCTCCAGAACCTCCTCTTCACGGAACATTTAAACTAGGCAGCCCGCCAACTGAAACTGGGTTGGTCCCAATCGGGCTGCCACCGTTAGCCGCGCCTGCAGTCGAAGCAGAGTGCATCTACGCTTTTGTGGGCAAGTGCGAATGGCCGGATGAAGGACGAGGTACATGGGTGAACACGACGGAATTTGAAAAGGAGAGAGGCGAAAGCCTCGGTGGAGGTGACTTGAGTGAGAAGAGTGATGAAGAAGTGATTGAAGACACTGCCGAATACTGGGTGACGAGTGCAGTGCAGGAAACATCGCGCCGACGACTCGACGTGGAGGTACGCCTTCTACCCGGAGAGCGTATGGGATGGTGGTCGGCGCAGAAATTCGACCGACGAGTACGTATGAGGACGCTGGTGAACGGAGCGGTCAACGACTCGCGAACGAGGATCCTGCTGGACACTGGAGCAAACGTCAGTGTTATTTTCCGAGAAGTACGCCAACCGGCTGAGAATCAAGGACATTCCAGACCATGGTCGGTGTATGGAAGTCCAGGGTATCACCAAGGGCAAGGCGACGACGACTCGGAGGGCGTCTGTGAAGATTACGCTCGGATGGGAGCGTGTTTACGTTTCTGAGATGTGGATCATCGACCACAACGCAGGCGTCGACGTGGTGCTAGGCACCGACTTAATGATCCCGGCTGGGATCCGGTTGGACCTCTTCAACGCGGCGGCCAAGCTCCCGGACGAAGTGATGATCCCGCTGAATCAAGACGCAGAACATGGTCGACGAGGCCGAATGGGTCCATGTCAACGGGGGCCCGGTCGACGTGCTGCAGATTCCCGGCCGAGAATGGAAAGAGTTCCGAATGCAACGGAAACGTCCGTCCCCGACGACTCACGTGCCGTGGATCCGACGGACCGACAAGCTCATCCCTACGGTGAAGCGGTTCCACAAGGGACATCCGCAGCGGATCCGACTGACGAACCTTGACAACCGGCTCACGATCTGTCCGGCTCACACAACCTTCGTGGTGTGGGTACCAATCGGGTCGTTGCCGAAGTCTGAGGGATATGTGCGGCTCGACTCTGACAAGTATAGGGAATGGCAAGTCCTTGCCTACGAGGCCGCCCGCGATAAGACGCTGCTCAAGTGGGAAGCCGAGCTTTACGCTCAATGGTTAGCTGCCCAGCCGTCGGCAGTGGATCGACCCGAGTATCCCACTCCAAAAGGGCTGCTCCGACGGCCTCCCGAAGACTCTCAAGACGAGCACAGCTCGGAGTCGTCCGACAGTGATGGAGGTGAAGATTCTGACGGCTTGCCAGTGGGCAATGATCCAGAATCCGCACCAGAAGAAGTTGCGCAACGGATAGTTGCAGCCGTCGACGACTCGACAGGGGTGACCCTCAATACTCGAGTGGAAGCAGCTGCCTTGGAGACGTCTGAGCGCCCTGCTGGGGGAGATGAGTCGTCGGGAACCGGCTTGGACGAACCTACGGAGTCTAAGAGTGCTGAGGATGAAGTCCCGACGACTCAATCCTGCTCGAACTCGGATATCGAGGCCGGTTTGACACGACTCGAGCAGACGTTCATGTGTGTCTTGCGATTCTTGAGCACAGAAGGTACAGAGACCGCGAATGACGACGCCGCTAACTCGTTCGAGCATCTCGCGGCTGGTATCGGGTTGGAAGACTACGCGCACGAGCTGACGTTCCTTCCTGACTTGTCCGAAGCTGCTACGACCACTCTGGACTACGACGCAGACAATGTGCGGAATCCTGAGTTGTCGGCGACACGACAGGACGATCTAATCAAGGTGCTCAAGAACCATGAGCCAATTATGATCGCAAGCGGTAATGCGTTACCACCACCAGCATATGGGGTGGTCTGTGACATAGACGTGCAAGGGCACGCGCCGATCAAGCAACGAGCCCGGCGGATACCACTACGGCATCTCAAGAAGCTGTATGAGCTGCTGAGGGGGCTGCTCAAGGCTGGACTCGTGTCTTTCTCTGACAGCCCGTGGGCATCGCCGATCGTCATCGTCCTGAAAAAGAACGGGATCGACATTCGACTGTGCATCGACTACAAGCTGGTCAATGCCATCACAGCGATCATGGAATACGACATGCCACTCGTCGATGACTTGTTGACCGACCTAGAAGCATACCTCTGGTTCTGCTCACTCGACGCTGCGAGTGGATTCTGGGCCATCATGATGACGCTACGAGCGCGCAAGATCTCGGCCTTCGTCTGCCCGCTGGGACACTTCGAGTGGCTTCGCATGCCTTTCGGCCTCAAGAACGCGCCGATGATCTACCAGCGCATGATCGACAACGCGTTGTGGGGTCATGTCCAGCCGAAGGGAGGTTGGAAGGCCTTTGCGGAACGGATGGGAGCTGCCGAAGCCGAATCAGCACGTCTCCGACGACTCGAGTCGTCGGGATACCTGCAGAACCCTTCCGCAGCGTCCCGCACGAAGTTTGCAGCCGCTCACGACGACTCGCAGGCACTAGATCCTGTCGTGCTGCTGATCAACAGCCCGGATGCGGACATGTTTGCGACCAACGAGCCCGACGACTCGTCACTGGTTCCGGTGTTCGATCGCCGATCGTTTGTGGATGCCATATGCTTCGGAGGCAAGAGCTTCGAAGACTGCCTCGCCACGCTGGACGGGCTCTTGAGCCGATTTGAGGAGTGCCGGATCAGCGTCAGCTTCACCAAGAGCATATTCGTGCAAGGACGCGTCGATTTCCTGTCGCACGAAATCTCGCGAGATGGGATGCGCGCAGACCCCAAGAAACTGGACGCAATCACGAAGCTGGCGTTCCCTCGGACAAAAAAGGGGATGCAGTCCTTCCTCGGAGCGCTGAATTACTACAGCCGGTTTATCCAAGACTTCGCAGTCTATGGAGCTGCGCTGTACCACCACAAGGACGACGACTTCGCGCCCGGGGGTGACCTCGCTGTAGCCCGCCGCAGCTTCCAAGCACTTCAGCAGAAGGTGGCGGCGGCGCCGATCCTTCGGCACTTCGATAAGAAGAAGGACGTGCACGTGATGCTTTACGCGAACGAATGGGCACTCAGCTCGACATTGCTCCAGATGCACGACGACAAACTGCACCCCGTGCGGTTCTGTGGTCGCGTCTTGAAGGACGCAGAAATGAATTACCATCCTGCAGAAAAGGAGGTGTTGGCTCTACTCCAGCTCCTGAAGACCTGCTATACGCAGCTAGCGGGACGGACCATCCGCGTGTACACGAGGTTCTCTACGTTGGAATGGATCACCAAGTCCAAGTCACTCTTCGGGAGAGCGGTGCAATTCGCCGTGTTGCTTTCCACGTGGCACTTGATCGTCCAGCGCGTGAAGGAGAAGGACTGCGTATTTTCACAACTGCTCCAGTCGACGGTAACCAACTTTGTGGACCTCGATGACTCGCTAGACCTGGTTGCTCCACCAACGAAACGCTCGCCGACGACACGTATGGACCCAAACCTCCTGTACGCACGTCTCCCGAAGGCTCACACGGGGTTTGTGGTCTCCTTTGACGGCTCCGCGAAGACCGAGAAGTATGGTGGATATGGCAGTTGTTCGTGGATCGTGTGGCGCCTACCAGAATGGACAATAGTGATTGCGGCGAGCGCTTACCTCGAGAAGACGACTGTTAATCTCGCCGAGTTCACTGGCATGACCAACGGAGTGCTTGCAGCTTTGGACCATGGCGCCGAAGACTTGGTCATCGTCGGGGACTCGAGGCTCGCGATCCAGCAATCCCTAGGGGTGATCGCATGCCGGAAGGAGTCGCTGATGACTCAGCTGAGTCGCCACAAGGAAATCACGGCACGACTGCGGTCAGTCTAGTACCTGCACGTGGTTCGAGAATTCAATGCGGCCGCAGACTCATTGGCGTCGGAAACACTTGAATCCAAGACGTCGAAGGTGGTTCTGAGTGAAACTCGGATGGCAGAGCTCTGCGAACGGAACCGCATCCAGGAAGTGATCTATGAGTCGACGCCAGATGAAGCAACAGTGCAAAACCATGTTCCTGGGGGCTCTATTCAAATTGCGGACGGATACGAGGTGACCAAACCCAGGACATTCGCTGATTTCGTGCGCAAAGAACCTTTCAGGATCATGGCGATGACTCGTTCACAGGCTAGATCGAAGACGAAACGAGTCCGATTTGCGGACGACAGTACGAACGAGACGCCACCCAAGCCGATGACTCAAACCGACAAAGAGCATACTGATCAACGACCACCGAAAGCAGCTCAAGCACCGCCCGCAGCGCCAAACGCAGAAGACATTGACCCCGTCGAAGTCCAAGCGGAGAAGCGACGGCGCATAGTAGCTGCTCAGGACGAGGAACTACGGTGGGCAAACCTGAAAACAGTCCTCCGAGGCGAGGTCGAGAAGCTCGGGTACAGGGCTGCACGAGATGCCTGGAAAATTGCGGACAAGTTCGTTCTGTCCGACGACGGACTACTCGACAATGTGAATTCGAGTCGTCGAGACACGTCTGGAGAGCAAGAGGAGATCAAGCTGCGTCTCGTGGTACCCACCCCGATGATTCAAGAAGTGTTGCAGAACTGCCATGACTCGCTAGAAGGCGGGCACCAAGGGGTTGTGCGGACCTACCAGCGAGTCAAGCGGGATTACTATTGGTTCGGCCTCTACACAGACGTCGAGAAGCATGTGAAGTCGTGCCCGGACTGCAGTACCAGCAAAAGCCGACCACAGTTGCGAGGGTATTCTCCCGGCAACGTGTTGGCAGAGCGACCACTCCAAATTATGTCCATGGACTTCGTAATACCGCTCCCGATGACTCGGAGAGGCAACACTGCCCTCCTCCTGTTCCAATGTGCTTTCACGGGATTTGTGATCGCCAAGGCAATGTCGGACACGACAGCGCTCAAGGTAGCCCAAGCTTTCGAAGAGTGTATATACCGACGATTCGGAGCACCTTCGTTGGTTAGACACGACCGGGATCCTCGCTTTATGAGCGAGGTGTTCCAGGACTTTGCCGAAATGATGCAGTCAAGGTCGCGGGCTACGCTGAGTTATCGGCCCCAAGCCAACAGGCAGCAAGAGAGGTCGGTGAAGACGGTGATTCAACCCGTGAGAGTGTACGCCGAAGACCCGCTTCAGCAGGACTAGGACGAGATCGTGGAACGGTTGGTCTTCGCGATCAACAACTCACAAGACATGACACGGAAGGAAACTCCATTCTTCCTCGTCCATGGATGGGACGCTCAGTCGACGTTGAAAGCGATGTCGTCATCGCTCCGTAGGGGCAGTAGCAGACAATCCGACGCGCTGGCGTGGCGCCGGGACGTCAACCGACAACACCAGATTGCGCTCGAGATGGCCAAGGAATACCAAGCGACTGAAAAAGCCCGCCGAGCACGCGAACATAACGAAGCACTGAGCCGGAAGGAGAGATCAACCATCCCGATGACTGGCAGGAACAAGTCGTCGACAGCAACGCCAACTAATCAGGACGCGGACTCAGACCCCTCAAGCAACGCGCCGATGTCTCTATTCGAGCCGGGTAGTCGCGTATGGCTGTACATGAAACGTGTCAAGCCGGGGCTGACCAAGAAGCTGGCCCACCGCTGGCACGGCCCGTTCCGGATCAAGAAGAAGGTCAAAGAGTACGCCTACAAGCTCGAGTTGCCGGACCGGAGCGGCTATCGGTTTTACCCGGTAGTCCATGTCTCGCGGTTGAAGCTGGTGAGTGAATTCAAAGACCGCCCGAAGACTCGACTGGCGCCTGACATCACCGAAGACTCACGGCTGGACTTCGACGAGGGATTACTCCCCGAAGACAGCTGGGCACCTGATAGTCTGGCCGGTGAGAGCGAAGTGTTGGAGATTCTGGATGATCGGATGCCCATGTCAACAAGAACGGGACGCTCAGTGCGTGAATTCAAGATCAAGTGGGCAGATCAGGACGAGCCCACGTGGGAACCAGTCACCCACCTCTCCTGTGGGGGTCTTCTCTACGACTACCTGAGGCGCAAGCGAAGCGAGCAACGCCTTCAGATGGTACAGGTCGCGGACGAAGATTAGAGCTCGCTCGCGACGACTCAAAGATGATGAACTACGCCTGGGGCAACGCAGCCCAGGAGGGTAGACGAAAATGACTACTGCGGAAGATGGTGGCCTGTACCTGGGGCAATGCAGCCCAGAAACGCAGACGAAGACGATTACTGCAGAAGACTTGCATGATTTTTATTTTTTTGAAAACTGGACGTGACGATCTGGAAGAAGAATCAAGAAAACCTAAATACCCCAAGCTGAACGCACCTACGACTACAACCGTGAAAACTCAAACAGCTTGGGTGGAAGAAACACCTGCACCCGAAGACTCACCGTTCCTAGTCGTCACTATCCTCGCGAGCGTCACCCTGCAACTCAGCAGAAGCTGCAGCCTGCGCCAGCACCTGGAGGTGGTCCGAGTTGTCGCGAGCCACGTGAGGAGTAGCTGCAGACGCCGGAGGCTCGCTTGGCTCAGGACCCGAAGACTCGTCGGAAGCTTGGGCAGGTTCACGGAAACCAGCATCCCAATCAGCCGCGATCTCGTTTGGCGTGAGGTCGGGACAAACGACGATCTGGCGCCCGACTTCCTCGCGCGTGGTGTTTGCAGGGACGAACAGCGGAAACCTTGGATTGCAGGGGAAGAACGTCGTGTTGTACGGATGCTGGGCAGGAACATCCACCCAGCCATTACGCCACGGCTCAGCCGCGTCCAACGCCGAAATCTCGCTGACCCAGTCGGTCGTCTTGGGCAGCCACGTGAGGTTGTCGAAAGGGCAACCCAGCATAGAAGGCTCAAACAAAGACTTGGTGTGGAGAGCAGCGAACTTCGGTTCCTTGCTGACAAACCACCTCCAGAACTGGTAGATGATCTTGGCTCGGAACCGATCCCAGCGCTTGTTCCGCTCGGCAGCATACGCCAACCACTCAGCCTTGGCCTCGTCCAGCTCAGCTCGAACTTTGGCCTTCGCCTCAGGGGACCAATTATTCCCTTCCAGCTCCTTGGTAGCGATCCGGAAGCAATTCTCCACGGCGGGAGCCGGAATCCAGTGGTAACGCTCCCAATCCGAGAACCCAAGATCAATATCGTCAGGATCCCCGTACCCTCGAAAGTTGCTCCAATACCCGTTAACTCGAGTCGTCGGGGGCGCTCGCTGGGAGACCTTGACAGAAGGATCAAATCCGTGGGTGTCGAACAAATATGCGTGCTCCGGGAGACGCCGGCGAAGCTGCTGCCAAGGGTGGTCCGGGTTCTTGAAGTCTTTGAACGCCTTGATACCAGCAGCCGTGGCAGCAATCCGAGCATCCCCGGGAATAGGAGTCGGCAACTCGCAATTCAAAATCTGGATCCAGCACTTAGAAGCGCCAGGAAACCGGAATTCAGGAGCCAAGTATGGAGTAGCCCAGTTCAACACGTGTTTGGAGTAACGAGCAGTGGGCAGCACATCTCGGGCTGCAGGCGAGGCAGACAAAGAGCGCGCAGAACTTGAACTTGGTCCTGGGGCCGATAACTGCGTAGTGACGACTTGGCGCGATGATAACTTATGGCGAGACTTAGCCGGATTCTTACCTCGGGCACGAGTCGTCGGAACCTTCTGAGATGCCGCATTTGCAGGCCGGTGAGCCGATGAGACAGCGACCGAGGTGTCCGCCGACTCAGCAGAAGCTGCAGGATCAAGCGGAAGAGAAGCCGATGACTCAGCGCTGGCAGTAGGCAGAGCTGGCGCAGGTGACGAGAGATTAGTGGAAGCCGATGACGACAGACCGTCAGCAACCGGAGGTGACGAAGCTGGAACTACAGCAACCACCTCAACGCGCTCTCCCTCCCACTCGTCGAGTTCCTCTTCATCAGCAGAAGCAGCACCGCCATCAACCACTGAGTCGTCAACCAGACCCTCCGTCAATCCAGCATCCGAGTCATCTCCGAACCACTGAGGCACCTCCGGAGACTGCTCGACTGAAGCTAACTGCTCGTCCGTCCCTCCGCGATCAGCCCGATGACTCAAGCCACCAACTTGTGGATCATCACCGGAACCAGAGACTGGGACCTCAGCTTGGACAGGAGTTTCCGCAGAAGCAACAGGGGGCGCAGAACCAGGAACAGAGGGCGCAGTAGCCTTCGCGACTGGAGCAGGACTCGTGGGCGGAGAGACACTGGAACCAATGAAGCGCGCGTAGACCGGAGAGCCGCGAGGCACCGACGCAGAACGACTTCGTGCCCAGCGAGACTCCTTCCGCTTCTTGGGCAACTTCTTGGGCTTCTCCGACGACTTCCTCACGGGAGACGATGACGCCGATGACCCAGCCGATGACTCGGCAGAAGTCTTGCGAGCCTTCGACCCTGAGCGACTCGGCCGAGCTGGGGAAGCAGCAGCACTGACGTAGCCCGAGTCTTCGCGAGACCTCTTGCGAGACGAGAGCCGTGGAGAAGACGATGACCGACGCGACGCGCGAGATTTCTTGACTGCAGTGGCAGACGTCCCCGGAGTGGTCTTGTTTACACCAGCGGGAGCGTCCTTGCGCAAGGGATCCCCGATGGAGTCATTCAGTGAGAAGGCAGTCCGAGCCAAGTCTTCGGCGATATCTCTGTCCGGCTTGGAGCGGTCTGCTGTACGGTACTGCTTCTGCAAAATCGCGAGAGACTCGGAAGTAAGATCCAGCAAGCTCCAATTGAGTTCACCAGTCGAGCGAGATACCTGGAAGCAAGATGAGTCATCGGGACAAAGTCAGCAAACATAAACCAAATGACGACCAAATGGTGACTACGAACCTTCTACGGCGAGGACCAGGACGTCGGGGTCCATATCTTCCAGCTGCACGTGAGCGCGAAGCGTCTTGTTGGCACGGGTCAGCCGCTTCACTTGCTCTTCGAGGTCCTCATTGCGGCGGCGAAGGCGAGCTGGTGCGGTGTCGTCGGCGGCGTCCGAGCGAGTCAGCAGATCGTGCAAGCACCTGCTTTGAGCAGTCGAAGAAGCAACGGCCGCCTTGTAGACCTCCTGCTCACGTTTCAACTGAGCTAGAGCCCGAGCTTGCGAGTCTTCGGCCACCCTGACACGATTCTCCTGCCGCTCGTTACACTCTCTGAGGCCATCCACGGCGGTGTTCGACGACTCGAGCTCGACGATGTAATGAGCCTCCAGCAGACGAAGATGCGCGACATCCTTCTTCAGCTGTGCGATCTCGTCGTTCGCGTTCTTCAAGAATACCTTCTGGTTCTCCAAAGAGTACGTCTGCGACCGCAACCGATTCTCTGCAGCAGCCTGCGCTGACTCAGCAGAGTGCAGCCGGGCGCGCATAGTTGCCATGTCCAGCGTCGAGCCTTCGCCAACATCCATGTTCGACTCCGCAGCAGTAACCACTTCATCGAGGTTCCGGGCCGACGCCAGGCAAGAACCCACGCGGCGATCACCACGGATGCTCGGTCCCAGCTGCAGGTTCACCGAGAGACGGCCGAGAGACTCCAGCTTCGAGCTCAGCACCGCCAAGATGCGCTCCGACGACTCATCACATGCACCACGGACCAGCTGCTCAAGGGCGTCGCGACGCATAACTTGACCACGACCGCGCGAGTTGTCGGGAGCAGGCTGAGAAGAACCAGGAGACCCAGGGCGAGATGTTGCCGGGGTTCCCGAAGACTCGTGGCCACGCATAGCCTCGATAAGTGGCTGCGGAGGCACGCCACCAGCCGACTGCAGATATAAGCAGACGCATCAACGAGAACAACGTCAGCACGAGTGAAAAGAAGGGAGACGCATGCAGAGACAGGGTACGCACCTGTGCGGCATCGCCTGGACGCGGAGTACCGGCAGCCGTCGACCCAGCGCGAGCAGAAGACGACGACCGAGCAGGCGAAGACGCAGCAGAAGCCTGGCCGGAGAGGCCGCCACCAGAACTCGACGCAGCGGGAGCCTGCCGCCAGCAGAATAAGCGCACACGCGTGAGGGTGAGCAGTCGACGGCACGAGCAGGAGACCGAACGCAGCACGTACCATGTCAGCGGGATCGACGCCGAGCGCCCGGAACGCGCGGGCCAGCGCAGCCTTCGCGGCGCGAGACGACCCAGCCGTGGTAGCGCGAAGCACCGGGAGCACCCTGACGCTCACCAAGTGCTGTGGCTCGCGACACGGTGTGGGCAGCTGTGGTGTCGAGAAAGTTGAGTGAAGCTCACGGCAAGCCCCGCGGCATTCGGCGTCGACTCAACTGGCGGATCGAGGCACATCGCCATTCGTTCGATGGTGTTTGACGGCCGTGGATTGGCCAGTCTGGACCAATGACGATGACTCGTCGACACTCAAGCTCAAGCCGTGGTGTGTCCACACAACACCGGAACTTCAAGGACGACCCGAACCTACGGCGAACTTTGGCCTGGGTTCCGCACCTAAGGCGACTCTTCGAGTCATCGGGAGGCCGTCCGAGCCTTCAAGAGAGTTCTGAAGAGTCGGGTGGTTACCTGGAAGATCCACAGCGGACACGTCTAGACTAGATATTTGCATTGAACCATAGGAAAGAGAAGATAGAACAGATAAGCCCTTTGGGCAACAACGACAGAACAGCTTTTCCTCCCAACCACTCAAGGAAGACGTCCGGGCTATCGGTGAGTTCCCGTAGCAATTGGATAAACCTGTTGGTAGGATTATGACTGTCGGTGGACGCGCCTGCTAGTATCGTAGCGTGCGTTTACCCGTGGTCAGGCCAAGAGTAGTGAAGAAGTGGCCATGTATACGAAGGGCGAGTCATCGCCGTGTAGTGGAGGAGCGAGAGCGCACTCCATTTATCCTTCCCGTCGGAGTATAGTTCCGGCACCCTCGTATCAAGCCGTGACTGGCTGGGACCATTCCTTCCTGAGGGCCTGCGAGGTTTATATTGTGTGTGAGAGCGTGTCAGCCTTTGCTCGTGGCTGGTGACGCTGGGTTTCCGTCAGTTGACTAAGCGGAAACACGATACACAGAGGAAACATCAACCCGGTGCAAGGGAAAGTTCCTGGGCCTTCAGGTTCTAACCCTAACAAGCCCATTGAGTCATCGGGACTTGGTGGGTGTTGTTGGTGGGGAAAGTGTGCTATTATATAATTTAGTGCGTGTTCCTACACGACACTGGCGCGCGGCACTCTGCTGCGCGATGTCCAATCTTCCGGCAGCGGAAGCAAGTCAGAGGACGAGCGTTCCGACCTCCTCCCCCACCATAAGCCGAGCGCCGTCGATCACCCGACGCCTCAATTGCGTCGATCTCCATGGGCTCGGGTGCGGATACCCGAGAGACGCCCGGCATAGCGCGCGCGTACGATGCCGCCACCACGTAGTCCTCGCGGAGCGCGAGGGCGAATGCCTCCTCGAGCGAGGAGGGTTCGGCTCTCGTGAGACAGTACCGCGTCATGCCTTCGCGCATCCCGAACACAAAGACATGCACCTGAGATGCCATGTCAATGGGGTGGGTGACAATGCACGACGCATGGTGTCGTGTCTTCTGGACGTAGTCGCGCATGGACATCTTGCCTTGTTTGAGGGCGAAGAACTGAGCACGAACGCGCGACTCGTCTTGGGGCGGCTCGAACGCGAGCCGGAGGTCACTCTGGAGCGCATCCAAGGTGGGGAACGTGTGCTGGTCGACGACGAGCTTGCCGAGGGCCCACTCGTTGGCCTTCCCGGACAGCCGGGAGAGTAGGAAGTTGACCTTGGCTGCCGGTGCTTCAATCATGCGCGAGGCGATAGCGATGTCGATCTCGCGGAACCAGCGGTTCAGCGGAAGCCGGTCGTCACCCACACCGGAGTATGTCGATGTCTCCAGTTTGACGACGTCGTTCCTCGAGGAGCGCGAGGGAGTTGTGACCCGCCGATTCGCATCTGCGAGCTCGCGTTCCATGAATTCTTGGGCAGCTTGGCGCTGTTGTTCCGGCATCGCTGAGCTCAGCAGCGAGGTGACAACAGCCTCTCCGGACACCGCCGCGAGTGTAAAAAAATGATTGATAAAAAAATACAAAAATGCTATTAAAATACTTATTAAATTTTAAATTTAAAAAAGTCTAAGAAACCACGTACACCTAAATAAATAATTACAATCGAGCTAATTATTCTTATGGGCCTAAGTAGATTTGAACCGCATTTTTTTCAAACTTAAATCCTAATTTTAAAAATTTGTTAAAAAAATGCATTTGGTTATTTAGGAATGATTTATTGTGAATTTATTCTTTTATCATTTGGAGGTAAAATTAAATTAAATTGGTATTTAATTGGACCGGATTTTAAAATACATTTAGTTAGATTAATAATTTAACAAACACTTATATTCAATATGTTTAATTTAATTTATTATAAAATTTGACTGGGGGAAGGCACCATGCTCCAGGGTTGCCCCTGAAGGTCCGGACGTCAGGACTTGGCTCATCTTGGTCTTGGTCGTTGGAAGGACTACGAAGTGCTACGAGGTGTAACAGGCCAGGTGTGTGTCCGTTACTAGCTTACACGTAGCGGTGAGGAAGCTTAGTTAAGACTCGGATTTAATGAGACCAAGCAGTCAGTCTTGGATAAAATCAACTCTGTTTTATGTTAGGACCAGGGCGGCTACCCCTTGGTCTCGTGTGAGCCACTCAAATGCAGTTCAACGTCTGATTGGCTGAAATGGGGTCTGGCTCCCCCAATTCAGCCAATCACGATGACCGTCAGTACACGCTAGCCGTGTACTGACTTAACTACTTTATGTACTGTCAATCTACCTACTTATGTAACTGGGGCCCATTACAGAAGTCCTCCGAGCACTCTGTCGATCCGCGGATCTCGTTTTGTTCAGCAGCGTCTTCGTCGATCCGATATCCGACGACGCCTCTTCCCCTGGTTTTTCCTTCACTTTCACATCTTCTACGGACTCACGGTAAAATCCGGAGTCCCCAAGAGATCCGGGCACGCGCACCATTGTGGTGTAGCGGGATCGGCCAAAATCGGGTTAAGGCCTGATCGAGCTTCCCACCAGCGCCCAGACACCGACTAACGGAGGGGGTCCCCCAACGATCCGTGATCGGCTGAACTTGTTCTCACCTTGTGTACCCGTCGGCGGGCTGGATCTGCTCTCTCGGGGCTCCGAAGATGCAGCACTTGGTGAAGATCGAATGTCTTGGCGTGACGCGGGGATAGGTTGTGGAGCAGCGCGGAATCTTCGCTCTGCGTCCGAGTATACGCTCCGATCGAGGGTTGTTCGCTCCGATCGGTCGGCCTGGAGTTGATCCAAGGCCTGTAGTTGCCTTTCCGGGTGTGTTCCTTCCTTTCCTGAGTTGCTTGCCGCTTCCTATAGCGGGATCGAAGTTGATCTAGAGGAGAAACGATCGCCGGCCAAGCTCTAATATCCGGTCGATCGAGGACTTGCACACAGAAGATAGCTCACTAGAGTAGATCAAACTGGCCTATGTATTAATCCAGTCTTAACCGTACCACTAGTTCACTACCCAAAGTGTCGACGCTGCCGAGGCCAATGCAGTTCCTGGGACTTGACGACTTGAGGGGACTTGTGCTCTTCGGTGCAAATTCTGCTCTGATTTATGTTTAGCTGGTATCTCTCTACCGCTACCATCTCATCTACCATCCTACAACTCAACAACCACTGGATTCTTGACCTGACTTCGTCCTCCATGTGCATCCCATCGTGGTCGATCCCCGATCCACGATCAACCCACGTGGATCGGGAACCGATCCACGATCGACTCCTGATCTGCGATCGACTCCCGATCCACGATCGATCTCGATCGGCGATCAACTCCCAATCGATGACTGATGCCGGTTGCTGTGCGCCGCCGATCCATCATCTTCCGTCCTCGGCCGTCCTAGATCTGCGAGATCTGTCGTCGATCGGGGCTTGGGTCAACCACGAATCACGCCACGGTTCGAGCACGATCATCCACAATCCGGCTTGCCACACGTCCTGCCTTACGCGCCGGCGTCATCGGGCCACTTGAGATCTCCCGAAGAACTCCCTCTGATCCACATATCCTTGCTGCCTGTCTCTCGATCGCTGATCTCCCATACTTCCAGTCGATCGGCCCTGCCGCCTTTCTCAGAGAACAATTCTTATTCAGTACTTCTCCACAATGAAGCCTGCGCCACTGCCTAGAGGGTTCCGAACCTCGGCCGACCCTGGAGAAGAACAAGCACGACGGAGTGGAGCTGACACGGTGCCCAACGACGTTAGATCTCCGACGAAATCTGAGCCAGCACGCCAAGGTTCGACTCCGTAGAGGATGCCCCTTCGTCCGACCCCTTGGTCCCCGACGAGGGGCTAGGAGAGCGAGCTTCATGAGCAGCAGCAAACTCGGTGACCCACGGGGCAACGACCATCGACGTCCGCAACGACGGCTCTATCACGACCGACGACGCCACAGCCTCCCTAGTCATGTCTCGAGGAACAAACAAGGGAACATCGTTGCACGGAGCGAACGCAGTGTTGTACGGGTGGCTTGCTGGATCTTGAAACCAGCAGTTACGCCACGGCTCGCCGGCGTCAAGTTCGGCAATCTCAGAGATCCAGTCGTCGGTCGTAGGGGCCCACTCCATCACCTCGAACGAGTATTGCGAGTAAGAGGGCTCCAAAAGAACCTCGGTCGGGTGCTGGTGGGGCTGCCCGTCGTAGTGGATGACAGCTTGTTGACCATCCGATCTCGCAACCGGTCCGCACGGTAGCTGCGCTGCTTGTAGTACTTGGCCCACTTCTTGCGAAGCTTCACAACCACCGGGTTGCGGTGACCGAGTGCTGCAGCGAGGTTGTCGATGAATGCTTTGATGGCCTTCGCCCAAATCCAATGACGACGCTCCCACAGGGCCAGCCCGAGGGTCGCCCTTCTCGTTAGGGTGAAAGGAATTGCCCTGGAACTGCCTGCTCAGGCGAACGACGAGTTGATGCCCGGTAGCCCGTCGAGAAATTGCTCGATTTGGCGGGTACCCAGTCACGTCGATCAGGCATGGATCCGGGAAGAGCCGGCGCAGAACTTGGAAAGGGTGAGCGAGGTTCTCCTACTTGCCGAAGGCCTTGATCCCGTCCGCCGAACACGGAGCAACTAAGTCGTCGTCAAAAATGAGAGGCACGCTAGCGTTCTGGATCAAACTCCAACACTCTTGACCGCCGGGTGACACGAATCCCGGTTCGAGAAACAGTGACGCCAGGTTGTTGAGCTTGCGCGACCCTGCCGCCGCGTCCGAAGCGTCGACCACCGCAGGGGCGATAGAAGCAGGACCAGCCCTCGGTGTGGCAGTCACTGTAGCTGTCACCAACGCGTGAGCATGAACCGAAGTCGACCGAGTGTAAGGTCGATGGGGCAGCGCAGCTGGAGCGGCTTGGGCAACCACAGGAACCTCGGTCGCCGTAGCCTGAGGTGCCGGAGGTGCTGCAGGACCTGTCCGTTGGGCAGCCGAGGCTTCGCTTTCGTCGTCGGAGCCAAACATCTCTCGCATGAGTGCTGCACGATCCTCCGAGGTCTCCGAGCCATCCGACGACCCTCCTTCTGGCGAGCCCTCGGGAGGCGATGAGTCACCGGGGCCAGCGGCAGTCCTCGTTGGAGGAGCCGACGGCGAGCTTCTCGAGGCAGACGGACCCTCGTTGTCACCATCAGGAGACTCGGCAGGTGCGTCGCCCGTCGGACCAACGCTGACCAAGGCTTGGGACACGATCGACGCAGCTTCGGGAACCGGGACGGCAGGCGGAGACTCGGTGGTAGTAGCAGGAGCCTCGGAAGCGGGGCCTTCAGCCTCCTCTGTACCGGCCGGCGCTTCCGGAATCTCGCCGGGCTCAAGATCGTCTTGCGGGACGTCGTCTGGACTTCCAGCACCGCCGAACTCGAAGTCGGGATACCCCTCGTCCCGCGGAGGTGGAGACCGAGCTGGCTGAGGAACTAGAGTAGCGCCCGTCAACCTAGGGTATAGCGGCACGTCCGAGTGCTCGTACGGAAGAGGCTGAGCATCCAACCGGCTAGTTCGGAACGTCGTTGAGGGTCGTGGCGTCGACGGAGGCGGTGCAGGGACCTCACCCGATGCTGACCGAGGCTGGATGACCCAGCGGCCGCTGCAGCTCTGACTCTCAGGTCGACCGACGGTCTACCGAAACGCTTGGGCGGAGAAGGCTGAGATACCGTGCCCTCGGCAGAGGCCGACTCGGCTTGCGAATCGGGCTTGCGCTTGAACGCCCCGGTGGACTCAGACAAACCAGCAGACACCACCTGCGAAGCCGCGGGAGCAGCTGAACCCTCGGTAGGCTCAGCCATCGATACGCCAGCCGTCTTGGACTCTTCCTCTTCCTCGGACGAGGATTTGTTACGGCGCGGACTCGCGACAGTGACCGTCAGTGGAGACAGCCCGAGGAGATTCCAGTCGATCTCAGCGGCGGAGATGCCAGCCGAGGCCAAGACCAAGGAATCCACGTAGAGCCCATAGGCTGCCGAGTGCCGTCGAAGGATAGAGTTGGCCCGTCGCAAGCTGTTGTTCTCGTCCGTCAACGCCCTGATACGGGCAGGGATAACATCAGCTCGGTCACGGTCGGCCAACTGCTTCCGAAGCTTTTCCAACTGGGTGTTGTAGACAACGAGGCTTGCTTTGATACGCTCATGGATCTGCGTGTTCCGGCGAACAGCAGCTGCTGCGTCTGCTTCCGCGGTCTGCGTCCGACCTTCCAACGACCGAGTAATGTTGCCGTGCTGGGAGATGGCCGCGTTCATCTCCAACAACTGCTGATTAGCGTGTGTGAGCTCGGTACGCATGTCTTGGATGTTCTGGAGCGCTTGGTTGCAGTCCGAGTTGGCCGTCACAAGGAAATAGTCAGCCCGTTGGCGGAGATGCATCTCCTCGTCGAGCTTGTTTTAGGTGTCGACGAGCTCCTCTCGCAACCGATCGTTGTCGCGACGGAGATCCACCAGCCCATCCGACTCCGCGAGAGGGAACGTACAGGGGCCACAGCCGCGGCCAGCACCTCACCGACGTTAGTGGCAGCTTGCAGGTTGCGGTCGAGAACAGGGTTGACTCGAGCTAGAGGCAAACGGGCAACACCCACGACGAGACGAGCGAGTTCCAGCACCTGCTGCTCGCCCAAGACAACCGCTGTCGGAGGAACCTCGGCCGGGCCAGCACCAGCTCCGGCGCGACCCCCTACAGCTGCCTCGCCCCCCCCCCCCCCCCCCCCCCACCGACGCCCCGCGAGTTGCCAACGTGACCGAAGGCGCGGGAGTTGGCGACGGTGGAGCGCTGGCGCTTGGCGGTGGTGTCGGCGGCGAGTCGGGAGCCTCTTCAATGGGAGCTGCCGGCGGGGGAGTCTCGGTCGCCCCAGCAGCAGACTCAGGACTACTTGGAGGAGCCGGTGGAGAGTGGACCGAGGTCCCGGAGGCGACAGGAAGAAGCGTAGGGTCACCTGCAGACGCGGCCGGGGCTGGAGGCACAGCACCAGCGGCGATAGGGGCGGTGGCACCCGCCGAACGAGCCTGGCGCGCCGGACGACGACCCGAAGTGTCGGTGGCGACATCAACAGCTCCGTGAGATGATCAAGAAAGAGATGGAGTCAACAACGAGGATCCGAATGACAGTGAGGAGCAGCAGGAGCGACGAACGTACCGGTCCGGAGCACTGGAGAGCCCGAAGAGCAGCGGCAGCCGCGTCGGCGAACGCACGCGATGGATGAGCCATGGAGTCGAAGAACATAGGACGCCTAGACGCTCACCAGCTTGGGAGGCTCGCATCGAGGCGGGGGTAGTTGTGGTATTGGAAGTGGCAGTTTCTAACGCTGTTGACCCGCCAGCCCGACAATCAACTTCAATCAAGGGGCAATCAAGGCGAGGTCAAGCGAGAGACGGAGATGGCTGCTTCTGATTGGATGATGACATTATCCTCGGTAGAGTGACAGTCAGTGGCCGAAGCCTCGTCGGGGCTCCACGGTACCAACTTGAGGGTACAGATGCATTTAGTTGCGTACTTCGACCGCACTTATTAGTGTGGCCGCGGTCGTCATTTGATATGTCCGGAATCGCCTTATTGCGGTCGTTCACCCTAGATATTTGTATAGGGATATGGGACTCATCATAGGATGATCAGAACGAGGCCCCAGGGCCTCAGAAAACTCAGTAATAAAAAGACTGTCTTCCCCCAAAGCCAACAAGGGTCAAGTCCGGCTTCGGTAAGTGTAGCTAGCTTATTGGAGTGCCTGGATACGCTCGGCTGCGTGTGGATGCCTGTCTGGGAGCTTATCGTGCATTGACCGAGAGTTTCCTTGGCAGAGCCAAGAGTTGGCGTGGCCGGAGAGGCAGTAACGGTATTAGAGTATCGTTCAATATATATTTGTGGGATTAGAGTGTCCCTGAGTGTATTAGTCTACCTACCGAGGTTTTACCTTGGTCCCCCTGTATAAGGCCTAACACGCCGGTACCCTTCCTTTCGGAGGGACTGCAGTGGAGTTGCGCGAAAGCGCTACATATAATCCTAGCCTTAGCTCGTGGCTAGTGGTACAGGTTTTTGGGTTGACCGAAGATAATCTAAGGTGCACAGAAGCGCTTGCAACCGACCCGGTGTAAGGGATCGTTCCTGGTCTTCAAGTTTTGATCCAATAAGCGCTTACCTTTGCGGGTTAGCGTGTTGTTGGTGTCTCTAATACGTTTTGGTAGAAGAGAATTTTAGTGGAATTACCACATCACAATGATGTCTTCACAGCAATCAATCCTTCAGATCGACCAGTTGCAATGGAAGACTGGTATATTCTCTTATATGGCGGATATGTTGTGGATGGCAAGAGTAGGAGAGGAGCGTGGGTTTTGTTGGGCGGTTACCCACCCAGAATCGAAGCAGTTGGCTTTGTACACGTGATTGAAGCACAAGATGGAGATGGCAGCATTACTCCATACCTAGAGCGGGCGATGAGCCAGTTGATACACTGTGCATTACTATCGACAGTTCGACTAACACTCCAAGGCACCTTTCTGAGTACTCGCGGCAGTACAGCGCCGCCAATTTCTAGTGTTGGAATGCTGGTAAGAAAACCGCTTACGAAAGGACCACAAAAAGCCGTAAAAGCCTTCGTGAAATCACGCCAACTGGCAAGACACACAGACGCAGTGCTCCTGAGAGCAGATAGTCCGCAGCACTTTACCACCAGGTTACAGAACGAAATGAAGACCAGTAGTAGCGAAAAGGGGTTGCATGATCATTATTCGATTCGGAACACCCTACAGCAATTCCAGGACTCTATAGTTTCTCGTTAAACGTAAATAGAGGACCTCTTACCCCCCCCCCCGGGAAAGAACTGTGGTATTAATAATAAACTTCCAACTAATACACCTCAACTTGTAGGCTGTGGAGCGCATGCTGACATTGACACTGCCATAGACCGTGGTGTTTAACTGCTATTTGTTTTCGAATTGAGGTAAAAAAAAAATTGCTGTCACTAAGCTAATACGCCAAGGTGGTCGGGAGGTGGATGCAGGAGCTAAGAATGAAGACCATGGATCAGCGCAAGTAATTTGATTGTTCGAGGAACATTGTCTTTCTACATGGAAAGTATGCGTGAAGGCAGTGAAGGACTTTACTTTTTTACTTTATGTTATATATCTAGATATGACTTTATGTGTGACGGGGCACACAGCACTTCTTAACAGAGGAAGCAGGAGTATACAAACTCCAAGTGAACAGCCGTTCACGTGTCCCTGGTCTGAAGGGGACGACTTGACTTGAAAAGCGGTAGATCTAAGACTGAATGTATTTATAGGTTGGTACAGATTTGGCCTGCATACAAATCCTAAGCTCCCCGTAGTTTGTGTCATACAAAATGTATCTGTTGGCTCTGAGGCCACTTGGGTCACTATCCAGGGGAGTGACCGATGTAGCCATGCCGGAATAGTGACAGGGTCACTATTCCATGTAACCCCGTTACATCCTCCCCCACTTAGATTCGATCTTATCGACCAATCAGAGCAAGGTTACGCCGGTGACTCACATTTCACTCGCAAAGTCGAAATCCATCGACAACGGCGCGAGCTCTGGCGCCTCGGCTCCCGGGCCTCACAGAGCAACTGGCGCATCGCCGAGCAAGCTGCAGGGTCTCCACGTCGACCGGAAGCATGCCTCCAAAGCGCAGTGCGCGCAGTGCGAAAGCACCTCCGAAACCGCGGGCCGTAGGGCCGAAGACCAGGGCGGCCAAGGCCAAGGACGAGTCGTCCGCGCTGATGGAGGCCATGAAGGCGGCCGAGGAGGTTGTGCGCTCTCGTAGCAGCACGCCGGAGAGTGGCCGTCAGGCCGGGGCTCGGAGCAAGTCTCCTGACGCCGCGCAAGGCAAGGAGGAGAGTCCTCGGGGCCATAAAGCCCGGCTCGCGACTGGGAAGCCGACGTCTTTGACTGCACGATGGTCCAGTACTCCGGTGAGAGTTCACCCGACGACGAGAACGTCTCGGAGGGCAGCACGCGCGCTACCGAAGGCACGGAGCTGGCGGCAGGCGACATGACCAACGCATCGGCCGACGCAAAGGCCTCGTCAGAGAAGGAGGCGGAGGACGCCGAGTCCGGCTCAGGCGACAGCATAGGGTCGTGGCCGAGAAGTCGCCGAGCGACGCGGGCTCCAAGCCCAAGGAGGTGCTGGCATCCAAGCATCTGACGCTGGCACAAGGTCGTGAGCGTGCCCAAGCGTCGAAACCGGCTGCCGCTGCGAAGGCCGCCGAGGCCAAGGCGAAGAAGCGCTCAGCTTCCAGGTCGCCTCGCGGCTCCAGCTCCAAGCTGTTCATCGACTCGGAGTCTGAGGACGAGGAGGGTGCCGTCTACGAGCCCAAGGAGCTCTCCAACAACCTCGACGAGCAGCAGCAGCAATACCACGCTGCTAGCTCGGGTGCGTATGCCAGGCAGCCGACTGCCACGACTGCCATCGAGTCTTCTTCAGGCGGGGATGCACGTACCCGCAGGGCTACTTCCCGCCCGAGCCTGGCACTGGTGCGCCAGCGCTGTTGTAGAAGCTCTCGGCTCCTCGTGGCCTTATCGGCGGGTACACTTCGAGGTGTTCCTATGAGCGTGCTCTTGTTGAGAAAGAGCCACTCTTTCTTGGCGACGTTGAAGTCGCCCGGTGTGTGCTACTAGCACCACACAAGCTCACACTGAAGGAGTTCACCACGCTTCGCAAGAAGCCGGAGGACAAGGGTGGACTCCATCCTGTGTGGGGTTTCCTTTGGGTCAAGCCGAATGACAACATGACCTGGAGCGAGGTGGAATACCTCTTCTGGTGCTACGTCCAGCGCAAAGGGTATTCCGACCAAGAGTTCAAAGAGCTCCGTGAGGATCGCACTCTGTCCGCAATCCTGGACGTGCGCGAGCTCCGCATCGAGTTCGCTCAACTCGTGAGCAAGCGCAAGCTCCACTCGAAGATGGACGAGCTGAAGCAAGAGGCGAGAGCCAAAGCTCGTGAAGAGCGTGGGCGTGGTGCGACTACGTCTGCTACCGTGCCCCGGGTACCGGCCAAGAAGCCAAGGACTACTTACGAAGCTGCCGCTGCTTCTCGTCCCATATCGCAACAGCCTTCGGGCAGTCTGCCTGGAGCTGCTCAACGGGCTCCCACGAGTTATCCGACTCAGGGTAACCCCTCCACTTCACGAGCAGCTGGCGCTTGCCATGGAGCCGCCGCTCCCGGACTACTCGTTCCACGTGGTAGTGGATCGGCCCATTACGATCAAGGAGGGCCGGCGGTGGCCTCGCACGGCCATGGCTACGAGCCTGAGGCGACGCAGCCGTATGCTGGGGCCCCGAGTCAGGTGGTGGCCCTGCAGCAAGAGGAGATTCGTCTTCTCCGGGACCGTGTGTACGTCCTCGAGATCGCGCTTGGCGTCGGCGTCGGTGGCGAGGCTGCCGCTCGTGCTGGTCAGCCTGGTGCCGTGGAGCGGCTCCGTGAGGATGTTGCCTCGCTCTATCAAGAAACTCGCAGTCTCCATGGCCGTGTGGATCGTCGAGCCGACCTGTCGTCTTACGACTCGCTGCGAAACCAGCTCGCTGGCCTTCGGGCCGAGCTTCTTGGCCACGCGCCGTATCCGGAGCAGCAGCAGCTCCACTCGTATCAGGCCCAGTTTGTCCAGGGCTCGTACGGGGCCCCTGCGTATGCTGCTCCGATGTACGCCGCGCCGTCTTACGACCAGCGCGCGTATCAGGCGCCTTACCGCGACCCGACGCCGCGCTTCGAGGAGCTGCGCTCTTCTCCACCGGGCCACCCACCTCTTCCTGCGGGGCAGCCAGAGCCAGAGGGTCATGGTACCTCTTAAGACGACCCACGTAAAACGTCGGGTGAGTCGTCATCGGCTTGGGCAAGTCTATGGTGTACGCCGCGCCATGCCGGCTGAGGACCGTGAAGGGTCCAATGAAGCGGTGCTTCAGCTTGTTGCTCTCGACCGAGCTAACAGTGTTTAGCGGTAGGTTTCTAGTATCTAGGAGAACTAAATCCCCAACCTTAAACACGTTCATGTTTCCTCTTCCATTTCGGTCAGAGTACTCCTTCTGTTTATCTTGGGCTTGCGCCATGGTGTCTCGCACCCTGCTGATTATGGTCAGCCTGTCTTCGGCAAACGAGGACAGTTGCTTCCGCAAGGTGGCTGGACTCACGTCCGAGACTTGGGAGGAAAAGGTTTTCCGAGCCTCTCCCCCACTTAGGAACGAAGCCCCGGTACTGCCTC